CATCTTGAAATCAGGCGGCCATCGCCAATTGGGCCAAATGCTTAACATTTATTATTATTATTTTATTATCATCATCATAATATCACATCTAGCAAGAGATAAAAGCTGCCTGCACGTAAAAACTATATATATATATATATATATATATATATATATATATATATATATATATATATATATATATATATATATAAACTCACCGGCCCACATTTAAAAAATTGGTCCGGCCCTTCTGGCATTTGCCAGAATTGCCAGATGGCCAGTCCGCCCCTGGCTTGCAACATTTGCAGAAATGATTCAAATTATTCTTGGTATCTGTAATATGCCCGTAATATCCATTACTTTCCACCTCTGGGTGTCAAGAGTTGTATACTAAGTGAGCATAATGACTATTGACCAGTGCATGTCCCTGGTAAATGACTGTTCTTGAGTTAATCTTAAGGTCACACAAAGTTTGGAGGTCCAAAGCTTTCTTTCACAAATAATTGTAGAAGTGTCTACAAGCCTAATGCTTGATTTTATACTCAGGTGGCCATTAAAGTAATTTGGTTGTGTCCCAATCACTTCCATGTTCCAATTGCATCTTTACCACTTGACTCCTGGCTTACAGCAACCATATATTCCCAGTGAACTGAATGAAGACTGCATATAAAAGCACTAATACAACTGTAATTGTATGTATTATCTACTATTGCAATAAATAGCTTAAAGATAAATATATTTGTACAAATATTTTACCTGCAATTAGAGGTTGTTCTGTTTTTGTTGTCATCTTTTTAATCCATGAGTGGTCTGCTTGTTGAGGGTTATATGTCATGGGAGTTTCCTTTGCTAATGATGATTTATCCGTTTTTGGATTTTCTTCAATCTGTTGAAGTTCATCTGTCTGTGGAGGCTCATATGTTTTTAAATTTTCAGTTGGCTGCTGAGGGTCATGCTTCTTTGGACATTCTTCTGTCTGTGAAGGTTTTTCTGTTTTTGGAGACTCTATTGTTAGTGATTTTATCTGTAGAAGTCCATCTGTCTGTGAATGTGTGGATTTTTCCAGATGATCATCTGACTGTTGATGTTCGTTCATCTTTGGAGTTTCTTCTGTCTGTAAAGTTGGTTACATTTTTGTGTTTTAGTATAATTGATTTGTCACAAAGTAAATTAGCCTAAACTGAGTTAATTGCAAATGTTTAAAGATATGCGTGATTGAGTATAAAATAGTATAGTAAAGTGTATTTGATAGGTGCACAGCACAGCGTATTGACTAAATATGACATTCCTTATGTATGGGAAATATGCAGGTTCCCATTGAAAATGAATTGTTAATAAATAAGCATGGCACTCAAAGAACAAATGATAACTACAAAACCATTCGGTTGCAAAGTGTAAAAGAAATACCGGACCATATATAAATGGCACAAAAATGGGTGTTTAAACCATAAATAGACTGAAAGTAAAAATAAATTCCAAGAAAAACTAATACAAAATCACAATTAAACTTAACATACATGAGTACCTGACATAGCTTCTTCCAAATTAATTGGTTCGCCTTTCTTGTTCGGCACAAATCCAAAATGTTCCCAGATTGGTGATGTAACATTTGTTTTTCCACTGAGATTCACGGTTGAACTCTTGAACTTGCTGAATTGCGGCTAACGTTATATTCTAACAGAAATGTAATTCTTGGCAACATAATGATAATTTGTGTTTTAGAGTGCGTGACGTTACAAACTATCGCCAGTGGTATGGACAACTCCATTGACTGTCACAGCAGTCACTCGCAGAAGAAAATACACTCTCCTCCTCGCTCCTCCCTCCTCACAGAGGGAGAAGTGTCCAAAATTCTCCTCTCTGCCCATCTCACAACCTGCCCTCTGGGCCCAATCCCCTCACACATCCTGCAGGACATTTCCCTAGACATTGTGCTGGCCCTAGCACACATCATTAACACTTCACTTCACACCAGCACATTATCAACCAGCTTTAACCAGGTCAGAGTAACTCTACTGCTCAAACAAACATCACTAAACACCTCAATGGTTGAAAATTTATTGGTCTGAATGGTCTCTCTTGTCCCTTTTACAACCAAAAAACTGGAAAGGGTTGAGTTTGACCTAAGTTCCACATTCCTTGAACAAAATAAACTAGTGAACTCAAACTAATCAGACTTCAGATGTGAACATTCCACTGATACTGCACTACTTTCAATAACTGAAGCCCTGCAGATTGCCAAAGCAGGTTCTAAATCATCTATTCTGCTTTACTAGACCTGTCTGCTGCTTTTGATTCAGGGAATCACCAGATTCTACTGTCTACCCTCTGCTCAATGGACATCACTGCTGGTTGGAGTCTTACTTCTAGAGCAGATCATTCAGGGTTGCCTGGAAAGCAGAGTAATCCAAAGGTCCTCAGCTGGTCACTGGAGTTCCTCAGTGATCTATTGTTAGTCCCCTACTATTTTTTTATTTAAACCACTTCACTAGGAAACATCATCTAATCACATACATGGTTTCCACTACATTCATTCTTCCATAGCAGGGCACCATGCCAAAATTCATCCCACCGAGGCTATATTCCAGCTTCTCATTGAAAACATTTTTTTTTTTTAATAGTGGGTAATAATCACACCAAAACGTATTGAAGGGTAAGTGAATTATATCAGCGCAAACTTTTCTGTAACCGTAATGATGCTCTGCTCCATTTGTTTAACCCTTCAAGGTTATGTGCTGACTGAATGACAGGTGTGTGATGCGTGAGGCCAGCAAACACAACGTATAGCCGTTTCACTTTACTTAATATCGCTGTAGGTCAATTAGAGACATTCATAAATATTCCTACCAAATGTAATAAATGCTGGAGACATGCTTGTTACATAAAAACACTAAATCTCAGGGTGCTTTCACACCTGTGAATCGATTCAGTTGTTCCGAATTATTACAATTGTTATATTGTTGCTCTTTGCTCTTGGAGCGGTTCGCTTTCACACTGCAAAGTTTCTAATCGGACCAAAAGAGCTAAAACAAGTCACGTGCGAGTAAACTCTCCTTACATTGGTCAGAGTGTCAGGGTTTATTTTGCAGCGTCCCACTCAGCTGTCAGGAGAGGTGGTGGTTTGGTGGTGATTGACAGGGTGCGAATGCGAGACGTGTCTGAGGAGAGACGCGGTGGGGAGGGGTGAGAAGGGTGCGTGACGATGCCTATTTGAGTATTTGAGGACCTGGAGGGAGACTCGAGATTACCAGGGAGATCATCACTCGTTTGCGGGCATCCGGAGACTCGCGAAACTTCCCACCCCACTCATAATTTTCTCTTCATATAGCCGTAAGCCTATTACATATCCATAAAACACAGTGATATAACCGCGCTCGGATCGGATCGCTTTCTCACTACAATCGATCCGCTCCAGGGTTCGTTTCAATCGAGCCGAGACCACCTCATTCAAGCGATCTCGGAGCGATTACTTTGGCGCGGAACAGAGCGCGATTGCCCTGTTCACATATGCCAATCGAACCGCGCTAACTGGGCAAACGAGATACGTTCCGAAACAAAAGTGTAGGTGTGAAAGCACCCTCACTCTGCAGCGTTTGTTTGAGAGCGCACAAGAAGATCTGCACACTCTTGAAGCCGCTTATGTTTGAGGGGGCATGTAAGAAGTTTTGTGCACAAGCAGAGGAAATCGGCGCGCAAGCACAGAGATTCGCATGCTCGTAGGCTATTACATAAATGTGATCCCGACTTCTAATACTCCGCTCACGACATTTGTCATTGAAATAATAACGCCACAGGTAGTTGGTAGATCTGTGTAAAAAAAAAAAGGCCTGCCGCCACAGCTGGAAAAAATCCTAGAGGAAACACTGACATGGTTTCTCTTATTATTGTTATGCTGACAACACACAGCTCTATCTTTCATTTTATCTGTATAATCCAACAATAGCTGCAAGGATCTTACTACTTGAGGATATCCATGATAAACCAGCTTAAACCAGCTTAAAACCACCTATTACCCCAAGAATTTCAGTAAGGAATCTTTTCTGGATGATCAGCTCTCCTTTAGAGAGCACATCGCAAAAAAAAGCTTGATCATGCAGATTTGCACTTTCTTGCATGAGAAAAATCTGAAAATCAGACCCTTCCTAACAGAGTGGCCTTCTCTGTATGTAAGAAGGTACACCCACTGGATGATTCTGGTCTACAAGGCTCTTCTGGGACTGGTGCCTTCATATTTATGTTTCCTTCTCCATAAGTCTAAAAGACAGTATGCCCTGTGCTCAAGTGAATCTTATCATTTGACTGTTCCCCGGGTTCGAACTGAAATAGGGAAGCGGGCCTTTAGTCATGCCGCCGCCTCATCCTGGAATACTCTTCAGTCTGAACTAAAAATATCTGAGCTCATCCCAATGACATAGTTTCGCTCTATCCTTTTTAACAAACAACAACAGTCCATTTCTCAATGTATGTGTTTTTATTATATTGAAATGTGGTAAAGCTGAACAACTGAACTGTATTTTTCATTCATTCATTTTCTTGTCGGCTTAGTCCCTTTATTAATCCGGGGTCACCACAGCGAATTGGAAAAATATGGAAAGCATGTTCATATATTATCCATTTTGCTTTATATTTATTATCACTGTAAATGTCATAAGTAATAATGGTAAGAGGGAGTTATTCTTGTAAAATCTACTTTCTTACCATCACTGCTGCTTGTGTGTTTGGTTGTCCATCCTGTTGTGATTGGTTAATTCCTGATGTTGATAGTCCTCCCAGAAATCTTCCAATTAATACTGCTCCTGCTGTTCCTGCTAGCACACCTAATACTGGTACTGCGATTCCTGTTGCTCCTATGCCTGTTCCTGCTGCTCCTAAAGCTGCAACGCCTGTTCCTAATGCTGCTATGCCTGTTCCTGCTGTTTCTAATGCAGCTATGCCTGTTGCAGCTGTTCCTACTGCTTCTATACCTTTTGCTAATGTTCCTGCTGTTGTTACACCTGTTGCTGCTGTTCCTGCTGCTTCTATGCCTGTTGTTCCTGTTCCCAATGCTGCTGTTCCTGTTGCTGTTGTGTCTGCTGCTGCTGCCCCTGTTGCTGTTGTGTCTGCTGCTGCTGCCCCTGTTGCTGTTGTGTCTGCTGCTGCTGCTGCCCCTGTTGCTGTTGTTTCTGCTGCTGCTGCCCCTGTTGCTGTTGTGTCTGCTGCTGCTGCCCCTGTTGCTGTTGTTTCTGCTGCTGCTGCCCCTGTTGCTGTTGTTTCTGCTGCTGCTGCCCCTGTTGCTGTTGTGTCTGCTGCTGCTATACCTGTTGCTGCTATCCCTGCTGCTGCTGCCCCTGTTGCTGTTGTTTCTGCTGCTGCTATACCTGTTGCTGCTATCCCTGCTGCTGCTGCCCCTGTTGCTGTTGTTTCTGCTGCTGCTATACCTGTTGCTGCTATCCCTGCTGCTGCTGTTCCAGTTGTTCCCGCTGCTGCTGTTCCTGCCACTGCTACTCCTGCTGCTGCTACTCCTGCTGCTGCTGCTGTTCCTGTTGTTGTTGCTGCTGCTGTTCCTGCTGCTGCTGCTGTTCCTGCTGCTGCTACTCCTGCTGCTGCTGCTGCTGTTCCAGTTGTTCCTGCTGCTGCTGTTCCTGCCACTGCTGTTCCTGCTGCTGCTACTCCTGCTGCTGCTGCTGTTCCTGTTGTTGTTGCTGCTGCTGCTGCTGTTCCTGCTGCTGCTAGGCCTGTTGCTGCTTTAAATATACCCAGTGCTGCTAATCCTGATCCTCCGGTTATTGCTGCAGCAAGTAATGCTCGTTTTACTACTTTCATACCCTTTTGAACTACTGATTTTACTTGGTTCACTAGAGCTACTACATGCTTTACTTTACATATTGCCCACAGTATTGTGCTTGTTGCACGTTGTAAATATGTTCTAATTACTGCCACTATTACAGCTCCTGCTATTGCTCCAACTACTGATGATCCTCTCTGTGACTGTCCTATTAATGATAGCAGTGTTGCTGCTGCTGTTCCTGCTATACCTCCTGCTATGGTTGCTATTGCTGCTCCCACTGTTTCTTCTATTAGTCTCACTTCTGGTTCCCATAATGATCTTAAAATGTATATACCCCCTCCTGCTGCGGCTCCTGCTACTGCTCCTGCTGCTGCTCCTGCAACTGTGTCAAATACTCTTGTTCCTGCTATGTGTATTGCTACTGCAACTACTGCAACTGTCAGTGCCATTTTTGTTATGTCTAGAGAAGTTTGTTTCCATGTTTTTGCTGGTTCACCTCCTGCTTTGTTTGCAGATGCTGCTGTAGCTGCTTCAGGTTTGGTATATGCAACAAATAAAAAGTAAGAAATTATTTGATCATAGAAGTTGCATTAAATACCCAAGTAAAAAAAATAAAACTCTTCTTACATGAAGTTCTTTTCATAATCACATCATTATTTTGGTCCTTGTCGTCTTCACAGTTCTTTTTTCCCCAAGCCATTTATCCTTCTGGAAAAACACATTTCAATTCAATATATAACATCCGATTATTAAGTGGTAATTTTATAAATTATAAAAACCACTCTACTTCTCATTTGCATCTCTTGTTATTTAACAGCATACAGACTTCATATTCAAAGCTTTAAATTTTCCCTGTGGTTTGTCATCTAAATTCAATATGCTTAGTTTTCCTCCACCCTGCTAATGACTAATACACGTTGCACAGTTTGTTTGTTTGTTTTTTTGTTTGTTTGTTTGTTTAGTTTTGCTCTCTCAGTTAACGTCTCTGCGACAAAACCATTGTTCCCTGACGGATGAGTGGAGGGGATTCCAGACAGGAAACCAGTCACTGAGTTGTATAAAAACATGTCAGTGAAATTGGTGAGTGGAATTTTTATGCAAGGGCTCTCTTATACATATTGTTATTCATGAGTTCACACTTACAGATATTTGAATGGATAGATTATGCAGAGGGCATATTCTGAATGAGAATAGAATATCAGAGAGGGCTTTGAGATTGAAAAGACACCCTAACGTATTCCCCTTATCAGGAGAGAGAGGGAGATAGGGTGTAGTGTTTAGCTCGGTCTCATAATGCCGCAATAACACAAGTTCCGTCATTACAAATATAGTTCAAATATAGTATTTCCCTGTAAGGGTCCATCTATTAGTCCTATGACGGAACTAACAGCATGGGTGAAGGCAGCGCCGGCCCAAGGCATAAGCGAACTAAGCGGCTGCTTAGGGCCCCGTGGCCACCAGGGGGCCCCCAAGAGTGCTTGAAATTATTGTGTGACCTTCGTTTTAGTTTGTTGAGTTGTGGATTAGTGGTGAGACAAAATATATGCCCATTTATCGTGTTATTTCTGACCGCGATACATACTCAGGCGCCAAGATATTTATCTGAATTTAAAAAAAAATCTGATATAAATAATCAGTTTGCCACACTGACTGCAGCAGATAAGTACAGACTTAGCTACAGTACATCCAGCCGCCACCAGGTGGCGCTTCCCGTAATGGCGGATCATCGGACATACACCAGCGTCATGTAAACAACTGACAGATGAGCCATTGCAATGGTGAAAATCTCAGGCATACAGACACTTTCTTCTGTCCAAGCTGGGCCAATGTATTTGTGTGTTTCAGACATCCAGCTCCCCTGAATTTGGCACTAGTTTCTTTCTCACAGACGCGCTTTCACTTCGCTATATCGCTCGCACGTGCCTTGCGGCCAGTACAACTTCTTATATGTGCTCAAACTTTTTAACTCTGCCAAACTAAGATATCAATAGGACATGAACATATAATTTGCAGGGCCTTGCATTTATTTGACTCTTACAGATCTTGTCAAAGCCTTGTAGATGGTATTTTGGCAAAAGAATATTAGAGGAATTAAAAAACTTAAATTGATGAAATAGTGGGACTACATATTTTTTTATTAAAAATAAACCAGGGCTAAGCATACAATGTTTTCATGTTTACATAAAATTTGTTGGTAAAGTTGTAAAGTGTTTTAAGTTTACAGAATGCAATAAATTACTATTTTGACAGTTTTTTCTTAAATGCATATTCCACTAAATTGAGATTTTGCTGCTGTGATAGAGATGTGCTCTCTTCTGTCATAGACTCCCCTCTGCACATCAGTATTTTTAAGCTTGTTTGACAGATGTGCACTTGTTTTACATTGTTGCAATTCTATAAAGACATGTTTATAAAAGAAATTAATCACAAATTTTTGATGCATTTTTCTTTCTTTTAGTTTTTGTGTGTTTTTTAGTCCAAAGATATAAAAATTATTAAACCAATAAACGTTTTCTAAACAGATTTTTAGTCAAAATAATGTGAATTTTTCATTTAAAAAGCTCAATAATCTGCCAATTAGGGTAAATAAAAAATATATTCTTTTAGGTTTTAAATAAGATTATTTTACTTTTCTCAATGGCAGATTAATTTGTTTTACAAAAAATCACTTAATTTAGAATTATTTCTGAAAACTGAACAATTTTTGTACATATTTAGTAATATGCTAGATATGTGAGTATGTCTAGAAAATGCATTCCTGATTTAATTTGATTTTAATTTAAATAGATTTTTTTAAGTTATTTGAACTACAAAATACAATATGCATTTTTTTCAGTGCTGACATTTATATCCAATTTAAAAAAATTATCTTTATTGTCACTGTGTTTGACTGTTTGGCAGCGTCTTGTGACTGAATAATAATAATAATAATATTAAAAATAAGTATGCTATTAGCCACTTCCAGCTGTTTTTGTTTCTGCCAGTCCATATTAATGTTTTGTGTCTAATTATTTAGATTTGTGGCAAGTAGTCATATAAAAAGTGGGATCAATAGGAAGCTGTTTCTGCAGAATAATATTTAGAATTGTCTTAAAACATATATTTTATGATGTAAGCAACACAGCTACAGCGAATAAAATCAATAGTGTCTGTTTTAAATTTATAGTGTGCGAATAATCAAGCATTGACGATAATTTGTCATATTGTTTGCACCAAGGGGGCGTCAAATAAAATCCTGCTTAGGGCCCCTTGAAGGCTTGGGCTGGCCCTGGGTGAAGGTTAAATGCGTGTAAGCCTTTTAGCACATGTGAAAAGAAATATTTTTATTTGTTAAAATTTATTTTAATTTGTTTCCAGCTCCGAATTTTAATCTGACTCCAATTTATAATCATTTTAGATTTAAATTAATCTAATTCAAGCTGATTACCTTATAGGTCGTGATTAGGTCTAATTCAGATTGATTGTAAATCCTTATTTTCAGTTAATGGTTCATCGTTTACCCAAAGTCTCTTAGAGTCAGTATGCAGGCCAGTTACATCTGCTCACGGACACATCCTCGCCAGTTCTGATTTTTAGCAGATAAGCTAATTTCCTTTAAGTAATAATAGGCCGCCTCATGCTTGCTCATACTTAAAGAATGTTTGATTTAGCCTCTAGATTATATCATACTTAGTCAGTGATTGTCAGAAATCATCAAGTCTCTAATGCTCTGCCCATGCTCATTCATTGAGCCTGGATGTATGACTAATCCTGGTCGTAGGCTGCGGAAACATCAGCCTAAACAATCTACTAGACTTAAGTGATTTCAGGAGATATTAGAGTTCAACAAGAATTTTACATTTATTTGTCAGGCCAAAATAATCCATTCCAATTCACATAATTAAACAAAATAAGCCAATCAAGATTGTACAACATCAACTACTCAAAGATATATTTAAGAGTTAAAGAGGAATACCTGACCATGTAGAAGTACATGGCAGCATTTAAGTCCTGATGCAGAGCTCAGAGTCTCACAACCTGCAATGGGGTATCCTGACTACAGGATCCCACAGACACCTCTGCACCCTTTGCCTAAATACTCAAATCATCATAAATTCAAGACAATTAAAGCTTCACCAAGACTCTTGCCTGGTCATGAGTTGATGTGAAGATCATTTTTCCTGGTGTGGAGCATCTGGCAAAGATCTTATCAAAGTCAAAACCCAAATTAACTAATATAAGAGATTAACTAATATTTCTAGCTGATCTTCTTCTCAGATTAGAAAGTTTATTGTTTTAGTGCCTGGCCATTCTCGTGGTCTTGTCTTGTGTGGAGTTCCATAACAGTTTTCAGGGTTTAATATTATGGAGAGATATAGCCATCCTTACATCCCAAATATTTCAATCGAACAAACATTTGCAAACTGTTTCAAACTACTTGTCTAGAGCTGTAGTTAGAAGCATAGTTCCTTGCTGTGTTCTATTCCAAGTCATCCCCCTATGCCCTATTTCTTTCAGACATTCCAACATCCATTTTGAATTATTTAAAAATAAAATAAAAGCTTATTTACCTCTCTCAGGTGTAGTTTGCTTTCAAATGATTTTTTACAGTTCTGTTTTAGCAATCTATAGATTGACAATTGTGCTTTCTTTGTAGTGCACTTTGAGATCATTTATGTCTTTTCGAATGCAAACGTGGCTCATGATGAAAGCTATAGGTGACCTATGATTTACAAGCGGAAATCGGCTACATCTCCAAAGCTTGTGAAACAAAAAAAAATGTATGATACTTTAAAATAGTTATAATTTATAGTAGCCTATTTAAATATATATATTCTATATATAAAAAATATATTTTTAATATAAATATATATATATATATATATATATATATATATATATATATATATATATATATATATATATATATATATATATATGATTTTAATCTGTAAGTGTGCACCCTGGCATGAAATAGACAGAGACTGGGGAAGCCTAAAGGCGTGACAGAAAAGTAAGAAAACAAGGAATATCAGAGCTTCGCCAACAAAGTATCAATAAACCTAACAGAAGTAGCAAAACCCTAACAGCTATTAGAATAGAAAGGAAATTACAAACATGTCAGCATTCATTAGCAGTGTTGGGTAACAAGTTTCAAAGTAACTAGTTCTTGTAACTGAAGTACTTATCCACTGAAAAAAAAGTTTACTTGCAGTAACTTATAATGCACTGGCCTTAAATAAAATAAACAAATTAAACAGGTTGAACAAAATTAAAGTATAATTTTCCAACATAAGGCTAAAATAAGGCTACATTTACCAAGACAATTGCACATGCCAAAGAAACAAAAGATTTAGTCAAAATTTTGATGGCCATATATTCTAAAAATCGCAGAGAAAAAAATATATATAATTTTTGTCCTTTAGATTTTCAGCATAACAATTTGACATAGATTTCTAAACTTAAAGTTCGATTTATCAGTCAATTGCACATGCTTAAGGAACTAAAAGTTTTGCCAGAAATTTCTAACAATATGTGGTATGTATGAAATATGGGGTTGCGACTTTGAAATGTTTTATATTTGTTGTATCGTTATTATATTTGTAACTAAAGATAAATAAAAATGTATGAATCTTACATACTTAAATTCTATTAATTCACACATTTTAAGTAGCAGTAAGTCAAGTAATTAAATAAAGTGATTAAATTACTTTTAAACATAATATAATGCAGTATAATATAATTGTTTTAATGTTGTAATTAATAATATATATATTTTAAGTACCACTATTTATCCATTACTCAGGATGAACAAGAATATACTGAACAAAACTAAGGCAGTAAGGGCAGCTAAACAAACAATTCGAACAAGTCAGTATAGTCTATAAAACTGCAATAATTGTAAATCTTGATTGTCATTACATATTCAATGCAGCATCAGCACACGTTTTATTTCAAGTCAAGAAACGTTGAGTAATAAAAACCCTCTGATAAATTAATAAATGTAAATGTAAAAAAGTCAAACCTGAGGGAAAATCTGGAATCCAAGCCGTCAATTCAAGTTTCTTCTGGATAATATAGAAGATCATACACTTTATGTCTTGGTTTCTTGAACTATTTTGCAATGGTTATGGTACATAGTGTGCACACTGGCTTAAATACCTGCATTTGTGTTATGCAAGACACAAGTCAACCAATAAGAAAGAATCCACAGATTACTGTGATAGCAAATGTTTGATTTCTGTTTCCAGTAAATCACGCAGTATGTGGAAAATGGACTGGTTCAGTAGGGACCAGAGGTCATTTGGTATACAGGTACAGGGGTGTGGGTGTTGAGATGGCCGAAATCAAGATATTGGCAGATATTGGAGTAGAGAGGAGGGATGCACTTATTCAATTAAAGTTTATTTGTATAGCGCTTTTCACAATAATTATTGTTTCAAAGCAGCCTTACAATCAAATTCACATTCACGCATCGTACCGTTATGTGATATATTGTGTATATGATTTACTAAACAGATAGGTCTTTAATCTAGTTTTTAACTGAGAGAGCGTGTTAGCCTCTGACATTAGCAGGAAGGCTATTCCAGAGTTTAGGAGCCATAAATGAGAAGCCTCGACCTCCTTTAGTGGTCACTTTGCTCTTCTGGGCACTACCAGAAGCTCTGAGTTTTGAGATCTTAAAGTGCGAGTTGGATTGTAGCGAGACGGAAGGTTGGTTAGATAAACAGGAGCTAGATTATTTAAAGCTTTATAGGTAAGAAGCAATATTTTAAATTCAATACGAAACTTAACAGGCAGCCAGTGTAAGGAGGATAAAATTGGGGTAATTTGATCATATTTTCTAGACCTGGTAAGAACTCTGGCAGCTGCATTTTGTACTGATGTGTATTAATAGAGGATCCTGAGCAACCAGCGAGCAAATCATTACAGTAATCCAGCCTAAAAGTCATACATATCAAAACACTATTATTTTGCTTGCTGGCTAATATTTTCCTTTCTCCTGACACACATTGCATTGAATAGCAAGAAGGAAATATAACTTCCTTAATATTTTGTTGTGAACAAATCAGTTTTGCATCATATAAAATGAATGGAATGGAAAATTAAATAAATTGTATAATTGTATTAACGGAATGAATTTTTATAAAAAAAAGAAACTGTAAAACAAGATGCACTGCCTCAATATAAAAGTCACCAGTTTCATGAGCATTCTTTTAATATATACAAATTGATCTATTAAATATATGTTTCTGAAATGCTGTCCATCAGTGTGTTGAACCAAAAGTGATGAAAAGTCTTCAAAGTTTATAAAGTTTCAATGAATGTTTACTTTAATTGTTTGTTTGCTTCATCAGAGAAAATAAAAAAAACTCTCAAAATTGTCATTATTTAACTGGACTGAAGCAGTTTCAATTTACTGCAGCTCTATCTATTTAAGCTGCTTTGACACAATATACATTGTAAAAGGTTCTATATAAATGGATTAATTAATAACAATAATAATAATATATAATAATTATAATAATAATAATATATATATATACAGTATATTATCAAGTTTTTTTTAAATGAACAAAATTATCGTAGATTATATTTTATAATAGACAAGATTATCTACTTTCACTTTTCAGTAAATCACGTGACTTTAAAGAAACTGTATTATTGTACAAGATAAGATATGCATAATCTTTATTACTCCTTTATGAAATAGACACATATGGGGTCATTATATGCATTATTTACAAATCCATAAATTTGATAAATATTGCAAATGTATTTTACTATCTTAGTTCGTGCTGTTCATCTTTGGTCAGTGAGATTTTGAATGAAATGAATATGCATTCTGTTCAAACATAGACATCTTTTTTTGTTTTTGAAATGCTTGTTGGCAGTGGGGTTTCTTTGTTACACTTTATAAACAACCAATCACAGTTCTTGCATTCCATGGCAACTTGATGTGTAGATACATTTTTTGGGAGGTGTGAATGCATTAGGGTGAAGCGCATTGGGGTCCTCGGGGTTAGGCATGTGTAAAATGTGCGTTGTTTAGTAAAATGTATTTATTATTTGTTTCTAAATTGATTGTTTTATCTGACTCCAGGTCATGGGCGTCACTAGGCCTATTTTTTTATTCAGCCCCCCTAAAACTTTTCCGATTAGCTCATAAACTGTAGACCAAATTATCGTCTCTGTCCCATTTAAATTTGATGTGAAGATGGTGGCCAAATTCGGCTCCTCCCCAACTTTCCCTTTTCATTTGATCTGCAAACCACAAAACGAGAGAATAAGATGGGTTTATCAATAAATTGTTATAATATCTGCTTATTTGCAGTTCTTTGCTATGGATACACTTTGGATACACTATGGATACTATGGATACACTTTGCTATGGAACACTGCTATGGATCACTTGTACCCCAATGTCATTTAGGAGCAATGGAGTTTGCAATCTACTGTTTCCTCAGTGCTCACCTCATAATCACAGCTGTTTCCTCCAGCGAAAATGTAACTCTTAATGAACATTTTACTATTTTTAATTCAAAATAAACTACCATTATAAAGCACATTACAGTGTATGTGTCATTATCTATACCACAGTCATGCACAGAAAGTATTAAACAGTGACAGAACCACTTAGTGAATGTACTCGTTTTATCTGTCAATGTCACTGACAGAGATAGAAACATCATGTGATGTCTTGAATTAAAAATAATTCCTATTGTAAAATTATGATTCAGCTCGTGAAATATGTGAATTAGTTAAAAAAAAAAAAAAAAAAAAAATATATATATATATATATATATATATATATATATATATATATATATATATATATATATATATATATATATATATTATGTGTACCATTTAATTACAAAATTGGAAGTTTTATTTATTAAATACATGGAAACCAAACTATACTTTAACCTATATAGTGGCTTTTACTACAGTAAACAGGTGTGTTGAGCCTATTTGGCTCATTCAGAACTCAAATGAATATGCACATCTATATAATACAGTGAAATACTGCTAGTTTATAGTTAAGCATACAACCCTAAAAATAATAATTATATATATTATTATTATTATTAATTTTTTTCTCATAAGGAGCTGAGCCCCCCTAAAATGAAAATCCTAAAATCGCCCCTGCTCCAGGTTCAAGCAATCAATAAATTTAGACATTTATTCTTATTTGTTTCTAATTCTGATCACATTTATTGTTTGTAATCAATGTACTGTTTAGATTTTTATGAGATCCCATACTGTCAATTTTACATTCTCAGACTCATTGTATCACCCATCTCATCCCTCTCGTCTGTCACTTTGTTTAGAATTTGAATTGTCTATATTTTACTGTTTGCTCCGGTTTCGACCCTTGCCTGTCTGACAATCTAAATAAAGCTGCAATTTAGATCTTACGCTTGTTGTTCCACTCCAGATCATTACAGTGATACTGACAGCTTAATTGACCAAAAGTCAAGTATTTGGAAGGTTGTAGTGAATTTGGAGGGACTGAGTGTCAAAAGGCCACTCAAAACATTAATATTATTAGTGGGTTTTCTTTCAGACTGTGATTATTGGTGCAACTTTCCATATATGGTGCAACTTCCGTTTATGGATGCAGGTGCCAGATCACAATGAGATTTCTCTATTATAGTTACATGTTATGGGTTCATTCAACAAATGTAACCAACAATGAAATTATTATTGAGTGAATATTTACGGTTAACCCTCAATTTAATCTTGGGTCTATATGACTCCAATCAACATTGTCTTATTTAGAAAAAAATATGATTAATAAGATTTTGTGATTTTTCAACTTTCACTTTTCAGTAAATCACTTGACTTTAAAGAAACTGTATTATTACACAAGATAAGATATGCATAATCTTTATTACTCCTTTATGAAATAGAAACACGAATCACTCCCTGAGAGGACTTGTAGTTTGAATCATTTTGAAGATTCGTTCAAAATGAACGAATCTTTCAAGAATGACCCATCACTAATATACAGCCAATGTATTCAACAGGTGGCCAGCGGTCCACATCCAGCCCATTGCTCTTTAAAATGTGGACTGTAGCTCCGCAGACTGATCAGCTTTCATGTTGCTGCATAAAGTGCAGCATATAATTTAGCACTAGAGCTGTAAAAGTAAACAAATTCATCCCTAACTGTTATGATGCAGTGGTAACGGTTTGGTTCATGTGCCCTCACGACGAATACAGATTATATTCACAAAGAACATGTTTTGTTGGAAAACAAGACACAACAGCATGATGGATGGTGTTTTCCTGCACACGACTAAAGTGAAGGGTGTGGGGAGGGGGGGTTGAGGGAGGAGTCACGGACGAAAGCGAAGGGGTAGATGACACGGATGAAAGTGAAGAGCAGGAGGTGGGGGATTGGGCCTCCTAATAGTAACCCTAATAGTAACTCTGGGGCCCCAAAATGGTGTGGGCCTTCCAACAACCCCCTTTCAGTGCACACGCTCAACAGCTTAACACTAAACACAAGCACACAACACTAGTCTCACCATTGAGTTCTAAAGATTGATCCACTTCTCTGACACTGACAGTATGTGCGAAAAAAGAGTGATGCAAAAGAAAGCCAGGTGTATAACAGCCACAAATGTCCGTAAACAATGGAAATACAGACCTTTTTCTTGGAACGCAAAATTACCCATGATGCTTTGCGTGTATGCGCAAGGAGAATGCAAAGAACTTCCGGTCGGCAGCTGATGCATGTAAACAGTCACATTTGGACAGCTTTAAAACGATAGTTTTAATCTATTTTACCTGCTTTTATCCTCTTTGAACTAATACTGTTGTCCATCAGCACCATCTCCTGGACTGATCATTTAAAGAAATGCCATCTAATAGGATGGAAAACAGCTGCTGTGAGGCGTTTTCCCCTCGTTGTCAGACGGCATCTTCTGCAGTTTAAATGAAGCCTTTTCATAGCTAACGTCAACATTTTCTCATTATTTCAAATATATAACCAGCCCAAACAAATGTAATTCACCAAAATGTTTGACAAACACACGTAGCCTGTACTGTGCCACTGACACACTGATTTAATAACTGTGACAAAGTGAAAATATAGGCTAGTGTCATTTCGAAATGACAGAAAAACACAAACCGTGGTGAATACAACACACGAAATAAAACACAAACGGATCGCAATTAGAATGAACAGCAAATCAGCCAGCAGAGGATCAATAACAGACTTTTATTGGTCATTTTTGTAAATTGCACGACTTTCATACCTGTTAAGTTTCATGCCAGTACTCTGGTTTGCTCTCTCTCTCTCTCTCTCTCTCTCTCTCTCTCTCTCTCTCTCTCTCTGTGTGTGTGTGTGTGTGTTAAAGAGCCGCTGAGCTAACAGCTGACAGGCCGGGAACACACTGTATTTCTGACGGCAGACATGTGAACTAGGAGAACGTTTTTCTCGTATTTCTGACGTGCTTGAACCACATGTGACAGATTATAAGAGCTTTAACAGACACATTTCTAAGTTGTGTGTCACAAAAACACTCTGTTATCCCTTAAAAACGTTATTGAAACTCATTTTCGGAGCGCAAATTACCAGTTGTACACGCTGTAAACTGAAGTTTTTAGCATTCTAACGGAAAACGCTGGTCGCTATGGCGCCCTCCATGCAGCAGCCATGAAAAAGGTCTATAGGATATTGTCTCATCATGTGAGCTCATAAGTCAATCTGTGAGCGTTCTCTACTCACACACACATAATATTGCACAGCTGGATCTGCTGCACGGATGAACAACGTGCTGCATTTTCAATAATAGAGATTTCAGTTTTAAAGCTTACTGAATCTTAAACTTATTACATATGCATTATTTTTCTGTTGTTTTAGGAAAGGGCCGAGATTTATTTTTGAGCTATACATTCCTAATTAGCTTCCGTATTTTAAAGATTTATTTTTAATCATTGTGTTTAATTTGTATTTTTGCATCTTCAGCTCTGCATGTGACAAACACTTCTGCCTGTTCAATATAAACAGAAAAGGCAAGTACTTGAGATTTGTTATTATTTCTGTTGCACTGTACCAGTACCAAACTTTGACGCCAAAACCGAGGTGCATACCAACCTGTGACTCTAGTGTACCGTTACGCCGATATGAAGCACGCAATTTTTTTATTTTCTTTTTTTAACTTTATTAAATTGCTTCATAAACTAAGCTTCAACGTCGACAAACATATATATACTAGTGTTTTTGAATAAAAATGTAAATTAAAACTGTTTAATGTCACAACATATTGCAAGTTTACCGTGAACACCCCCGAATCCTTTACTGTATTTTGATGATGACTAAAAAAGAAAAGTGGATAATGAAAACCGGATTTTTAACTCTGCATGGTAATGTGAATTCACTTTTATGGAGGTACATGGCAGAGGCGCCACGGTGGCGCAGTGGGTAGCATGATCACGTCAAAGCAAGATGGTTCGAGGCTCGGCTGGGTCAATTTGCATTTCTGTGTGGAGTTTGCATGTTCTCCCCGCATTTGTGTGGGTTTCCTCCAGGTGCTCTGGTTTCCCCCACAGTCCGAACACATGCAGTACAGGTGAATTGAATAAGCTAAATTGGCAGTAGTGTGTGAGTCTGCATGAGCGTGTATAGGTGTTTCTCAGTACTGGGTTGCAGTGGACGCCACTAGGCATTACTGACAGGGTATTCCAGTGTCATAAAGAGTCAGAATGTTGTGGGACAGCTGTACAGGAGTTATTATCAAGGATTATAGATTGCTAAATTTAGGTTTTTTTTTTTTTTTTTAAAGCATGAGGGTAAAACATGTATGTGGTTATGAATATATTAAAACGTGTTTGTTGTAAAAATTGGGAATAATGACAAAAAATACTAATTAGTGGATCTCCTAACTTCCGGGTTCAGCATCAGTTGTGGCTGGTGTATACTGGGAAATTTTCTTACCCCTTGGTTTCGAGTGTGGTCCTGAAAAATCTTCATTCGAACGCCTATTCACCCCTTCCCCTTAGCCCTACGCCTTCAAGCTAAAGAGAGTTGGGACACCCCTGCCAATTGGGATTGGGCCTTACTGTTGGCAGAGACCTCCCTTTTTTAATTGTAATATCCATTTGGGAAAAAAATACACAAGTCACAAGCAAAATATTTTTGCTTTAACCTGAGAGCTCATATTGTAAATTCTACTGATTAATTGATATTTTGTGTAACTGCTGTCATAAAGCATTGATATAGTGTTTCCACTAGATGGCGCTAGTGTGCTTTAAACGTGTTTTCTTCAATAACTTGAGATTAGTTTAATATGTATAATTTTCGATTTTTCATCATTTTAAAATGCTTATTATTGACTTATTTACCGATCTATGGTTTATTTGAGCAAAGGTTATTCATTCTAACGGTTTTGGACATTTTTTTTTATTTCATTCCCATCTTGCCCAGATACAATACTACTTCCGGGTTGGCCACTCGAATGAAAGTGAAAGAGGAAAGTAACGGCAAGATTTAAGGACGTTTCTTTTGTGAGTTATAAGTGCTATAACCAAGAAATCGACGGATGTAACATCTAAACATCTGTGAAAAAGGAACCTCAGCCTTCGCGTTGTGACTAAGGGCGGCATATTTTGATTTCCAAAGATCTTATTTTTAATTTATAATTAATACAGAACATATTAACAATTTATTAACTGTGCTTGTGTTACTGTCGTAGTTTCAGATAGAAAATACAGTAACATGTACAGTAGACCTACAGTTGAAGTTGAATTATTAGCCCCCCTCTGAATTATTATTTTTATATCTCCCAAATGATGTTTAACAGATTCAGGAAATTTTCACAGTATGTCTGATAATATTTTTTCTTCTGGAAAAAGTCTTATTTGTTTTATTTCTGCTAAAAAAGAGAAAAAAAAATGAAATTGGGGTAATAAAATTAGCAGGGGGGCTAATATTTCTGACTTCAGCTGTACTTCGCATTAAATATGTTACAAATAATAGTTGCATTATATATTATGCTTTTTATTTTGATTTTTTTACTTTAACTTTTTTTTTTGCCAGAAAACATAGAAAAGTGTCCTAATAGCACAGAAAATAAGAGCAAGCTATAACTACCATAAAATAATGCTCTCTTTTGACACTAATTTTGATCAAATCAAACACTGAAATAATTGTTTGTTGGTCTAATAAGATGTCACATTGATTTATGCCATATAACCTGGTAATTTTCAGAAATCACTTTAATGAACACCACATAGTGTACACTGATTTTAATTAAAAACCAGAAGCCTTTTTTTAAAAAGCAAAAAATACAATATAGCGGTATGTTTGTAAGACTATAACATTGTTAAATGCAATAGTTGACGAAAGCAACAATGATTAAAAGGTTAAAGTTGAAAATCTCTAAACACTTGTTATTTTGTTGACTGCACTTGCCTACTGTTGAAACGCATGTTTTGTTGTAGTTTTATGAATATCCATTTAAGCACAATGTTTGAAAGAGATTCATTGCAAATGATTTTGTAATGCATTTTGATTAAATACAACCTGCATATCTGATATTGTTCCCTGTCCTGTTTTACGACACCCAAAGGAGAAGAAGCTCCTCCCTCTTACAGCTCTGATCAGGAAGACACTGACTTTTTATGCTGTTACAGTGACTCTCTTCAATTCTATATTGGATTTTTATTTTTTTAAGAATTTGAAATTAGCAAATGAGGAAGACAAACACTTTTAAGAAGGATTTTAGAGACACTTGTTTCTAAACACACATCTTTGTGATAAATGTTTTAGAATACAGAAAGTGAAAGTAAGGTTCAGATTTCTGTAGCTCAAACAGGGAAATGGCTTCAGTAAATGTTTCTGCAGACGAACTCTCTTGTCCCGTGTGCTGTGAAATCTTCAAGAATCCTGTTCTTTTATCATGCAGTCACAGTGTGTGTAAAGAGTGTCTTCAACAGTTCTGGAGAACCAAGACAACTCTGGAGTGTCCTGTTTGCCGGAGATTGTCAAGTCACGATCCTCCATGTAATCTAGTATTGAAAAACCTGTGTGAGTTGTTCCTGAAGGGGAGAAATGAGAGATGTTCATCGGTATTTGAGGAGATCTGCAGTTTACACAGTGAGAAACTCAAACTCTTCTGTCTGGAGGACAAACAGCCTGCGTGTGTAGTGTGTGCTACTTCACAACAACACGACAATCACAAATTCAGACCCATCAGTGAAGTGGTTTCTTCATATAAGGTAAAACAAGAGTCTCTTCATTAATAAGAACAGTAATATTTTATAGATATCAGCACATTGATTCATCAGTTCTCTCTGCCGTTTTACTCATCTTCATATGACAAACATTGTGCGGTGAAAAAGTATTTGCCCCCATGCTGATTTTGTTCACATCTCATGCTAAGTGAGTTTAGGTATTCAGTTGGATCAGTGATTGTGTTGAATAGGTGCTTTAGAAACTCTAATAAATGACCAACATATTAATAATTAGCAGATTATGAGCCAGTAGTTAATTAATAGTGGGACTTAGTGGGTGCTTAAAGTAATGTGTTACAAACAGCAGAACCGATGTCCAAATGCATATTATATGAGGTGTTTTGTCTGCATTATATTTAAAATACAATTCTCACTATTGTACAACATTATTGATGCAGATTTGGAGAATTTGAAATTACAAGCCCAGAAAGAATTGAATAATTGTATTGTTTAATTAAAAAATGCAAGAAGAAATCACATCATGTGACAGTATTTACTTCTCTTCACTGTGGTTTTTGTTTTTATATTTTGTTTTTAACTGTTCAATTCTAGGAGGAGCTCAATACAGCACTGAAATCTTTACAGGAGAAACTCAAACACAATAATAAAATTAAAGCAGAGTTTGAGAAAACAGTTCAACACATCAAGGTGAGAAACAGAATCAAGAGTCTTTTTCATTCAGCAGCAGGAGACACGAATATGACTTCTTATAATTAGTTTAATTAATTTCTGGTAATCACTTTGCTAATGTTAAACATCATTTGGCTTCTGGGTCTTTTCTATATCTGAGTTTATTGTGGATATTTATAAAGTGATGTTGTTGTGTTTTGACTCAGATTATTAAATGTGTCTGTGATTTACTTTCAGTTTCAAGCTGATCACACAGAGCGTCAGATTAAACATGAGTTTGAGAAGCTTCATCAGTTTCTCCGAGATGAAGAAGAAGCTACAATCACTGCACTGAGAGAGGAAGAGGAGCAGAAGAAGCAGATGATGAAGGAGAAGCTGGAGGAGATGAACACACACATCTCAGCTCTTTCACACACGATCAAAGACACGGAGGAGATGCTGAAAGCCAATGACGTCTGCTTTCTAAAGGTCTGATTTCAGATCAGTGATTGATTGATTGATGATGGATTGAGCTCTTGATGATCAGTTGTGTGTTTGTTCTGCAGGAGTTTCCAGTCTCGATGGAAAGGTGAGTGATCTGCTGGTGTCTCTGCTCTCTCTGCTTCTGAATCCTGCAGTTCTGACTCCTGAATGTTCTTCCAGAGTCCAGATCTCACAGCCGGATCCACAGACGCCTTCTGGAGCTTTGATTCATGTGTCTCGCTACTTGGGGAACCTGCCGTTCAGAGTCTGGAAGAAGATGCAGGACATCGTCCACTACAGTAAGAGTCTCTCTGCTCACACACAGTCAGTGTTTCACTGCAGTATTTATTCTAGTTTGTAGTGAAATACTGTTTTAGTTTGTTGTAAAGGACAATCATAACACACACAATGTTTCAACTGTTTATCCAGGGCCGTCACAGCAGCATCATAATAATAATAATGCTGTCATGTGTAATATCATGCGGCTATATTTAGAGAATGTTTCTCATTTCTTCATCTGCTGAACTCCAGAACAAAATTAACAGTGTAAAAGTGAAAAGATATTTAAGTCTCCATATTCTTCTGACTGAAACATTGAGCCTCAAATATTAGATGGTTATATTGTGATCTTAATATAACTGTAGAGTCCTCAAAGACTGTTCATTATGAAGGTGTTATTAATAATGTTTTGACAGTCTCTGGAGTTCATTAAGAAAATTAATACTTTTATTCTGTCCTCAGAGAGCTGCTCAGTGTGATTCATAAAAGGAAACGAATATTCTTAATGAATAATAAAATAAAGTGTTTGAAAATGATATCATTATATTATAAAATACAACATTAAAAATATTGAATACAAATCTGAACCATACAAGTGTGTTGTAATAAACATGATCATACAAATTTGAAATATATAGTGTTAGGATTATTTATTCTGTGTTTTTTTTATGAATTGTTTGTGTAGAAGTATCTATAAAAGAGCTGTGTTTATCAGAAGAACATTCAGTTCATCAAAACACAAAGATCATCATATATTTAACCAAGGGTGCAGGTTTGCTTTTGACATTGGTGGGGATTTATGAATGTAGAGAGTGTGATTTAACCCTTTCTGCATGTCCAGGTTAATGTTGATGTTACGTCCCGACCAGTCTAGGGTTGGTGGGAACAATTAACAAGTGTAAAAAAAAAACAAAGAGATAAACTCAAATACTCAATTTAGGGTTTTCCCCTTCTCCTGTCCCAACTCACAATAATCACAACGCTGATCAAGTAGTAACAATATTTATTATTTACTTAGACAACAAAGATAGAAGCATCTCTTCGGAAGGGAATCCAGGCCAAAATAATAAACAAAAAGACAGCTAACTTGCGGGGAAATAATTCTAACTTACCTGCTCAAATAAAAGTACCCCAAATAAAATTACAGCAAACTTCCCTTTCTCCCTTGCTACCACAAACCAGGAGAAAACGTTTTAAAGTAAATGGCGATTCCCAACCTACCGCTTCTGTTTCTAACCAAAAATAATATATATAAATATTTAATCAGAAAAGCCAATAGATTCAGATTTAACAGAGAGCCGTTTTAGAAAATAATTAAATTGTCAGTAACAGAAATCAATCAATTCACACCAAGTCAACCAACAGTTTGGGGCAGGAGATAGGAGACGCTCGGAACAACAGCAGCGGCGGCGGCGACGACGGAGATTTGCGACCTGCACCGAGCAGAAAGATCTCTCCATTGTTCCTCTCCTTCAGCTTTTATATACGCTCCCACACGCAACACGGCTGGACCGCAATCAAGCGCAGCTCTAGAGGGAGGGGGAGAGAGAGAGAAAGCTGCGCATGATCCACAGCGCACAACACAACATCAGCTCCAAATGCATAAACAAAACACAAATCTGTATATATATATAATATTTATATATATAAAATAAACAAACAAATAATTAATACGTTCTATAACGTAACAGTTGACATCAAATTATTGGTGAGGACATTTTAGTAGTCGGTGGATATTGGTGGGGACATGTTCCCTTCATCCATGCTAAATCTACAGTCGTGTATTTAACAATATATCAGTGACAGATTATTAATTACTGTATCAGACACAACAGACAGTAATCGAGGATCTAAAAACAGTAAGACCAAATATAGTTGATCTTGAGCCTGATCTGATGTTTTTAAACTGCTTATGAAAATGAGTGTGTAACTAATAACAGACAGTGATCAGAGGAACATGTCTGATGTGTTTGATCAACAGGACGAGTGTCATAGTTCATAATAATCTGTGTTTGTTCACTCTTGATCATGATATGAACATCAGAATAAAAGCAGCTGTTGATTGTGTCTCTTCAGCTCCTGTCATTCTGGATCCAAACACTGCAAATCCACGTCTCGTCCTGTCTGATGATCTGACCAGTGTGAGGTACAGCAGGAACAATCTACCTGTTCCTGATAATCCAGAGAGATTTGACTTTTACTCATGTGTTCTGGGTTCAGAGGGTTTTACCTCAGGAAAACACTGCTGGGTTGTGGAGGTCAAAGAGAGTCCATGCTGGATTCTTGGAGTATCTACAGCATCAAACCAGAGGAAGGGAAATGTTTTCTTTAGCACTGGTGTCTGGAGTGTGCGGTATAATACAGCTATTAGCTCTGGCTTTACTGTTAAACAGGATCTCGAGTGTGTGAGAGTTGATCTGGACTGTGACAGAGGAACAGTGTCTTTCTCTGATCCTGTAACAAACACACATCTACACACATTCACCACCACCTTCACTGAGTCTGTCTTTCCTTTCTTCTGGTGTGGTAGTCTTGTCTATCTGAGGATCTTACCGCTCAGTAGTCAGTCAAAGTTACACCTGTAGGTCTGCATCTTCTTTCATATGTAATTCACATTGGTTGGTCCAGCACTGCAGACACACTGACATTGTTAAATCACGTTAGAGAACAGATCAATAAGCCAAAGAATAACATATTTATGTAAAAAAAAAATAATAATGATATTTTTGCTAAACCTGTTATAAACTTTTTAAATGTTAAACTTGATCCTGTTTTTTATCTTTAAATATTTAAAAATGTTATATAATTAGGAATTACTGCCCAAAAATATAACATTACTTGTTTTCTCACTGGATTTTGTGACTGCAGTTTTGAGTTTCCTACTTCTGGCAGGCTTCAAACTAACATATAATGATATTGTAGTTTTACTGCCGTTAACTGTAGTGTGTGTTATTCTGTCTTACATTTGTGATTAAATCTATAAAATTCTATTTAAATCTATAAATAAAACTATAAAATAATGGTGCAAAAATTAAAAATTGCACCAAAATTATTTCCTTGTCATTTTTACATTTTGGTTTGAGAGTGAGCTGATATTATCTCAACAAAAAATCTTTCAGATCCATAATAAATGTTTGTTTTGACAAAATAAATGTGCGAGTACTGTGTATATTTATTGTGTATATATAAATACACACATACAATCATATATGTAAGAAAATGTTTATATGCATATATACATACATACAACAGTTCTGTCTGGTTCTTGAGTCTGATTGGCTGATAGCCATGCGATATTCTGCAATAACAGCATTTGTACAGCCTCCTCACTCTTCTGTATTACTCCGCCCACATACAGCGCAACAAGAGGACACTCTACAGTTTGACAAATATTGCAGCTATTGGACAACAATGTACTTTTGAGGCTTTTTTTGTCAAGAATGTAGTTGATTAGATTGCAACTATGCAGTTTATTTATAAGGATAGCGCCTATTTTAAACATTTATAATTTCTCAGAGACAGCGCATCGGCGTCCATTACCCAAAGATGATCTATCCACAAGATGGCGCCAGGACCTTATAATAAGCCCTTGGATAGAAGATTAAAACAGCGTGATTTCTAACTAAAGCTGATCAAATCATTATTAAACTAATAAGTAATATTCTCCCCAACCCACCCCATTTTGAGAGACAAATGTTGGCAGGTATGCTGGTAAGTGATATTCTAAGTCGATCTCTTGTATGTTATAGTGCTGCATTTTTACCGATTTACTCGCATATCAGGAATGTGTGTTGTGTTGGCAGAAAGAATGTTTAGCAATTTTTCTGATCACAAACACAACAGTCTGGTAGTGATAAGAGAAATACTGCAGACTGTAATAGACTGTAGCGAGATATCTCTGTAGACTGATGGCATTTCATGTTACATTCAGCCTTATAATCTTAAAGTGTGAGCAAAATCAGCTGTTTCGTCATCACTTTAGACATTACGTTTGAGAATCATTCAAACACTAGCTCTAAAGTGACGTTGGTGAACTAGTAACGGCTTCTGCAATTTTGACATCAGCTGCAGATGACAACGAATGGCGGAAGAAAGTAGTTCCTCATAAGGGTTTTTGAGACTCTCCGTGTTTGATTTTCTTATTTATAAACACGATTATGCCGTCTAACTGTTGTATAAACAAAATATCTCACTTGTAGCAGTGCTATATGGCTGTATATCAGCACTGGTGGGACACTAAGGCACTGAGCCTGCGGCCTTGTGCCAACGCACGCCTCCCACTAGTGCTGATATACAGCCATATTGCACTGCTAAAAGTGAGATATTGGTCATATTGTAAATGACATATCTATGTAATAGAATTGTATAGTTTTGTTTCTATGTATGCACGTATCACATTTACATAATCTAATAAAATAAAAAAACTCTCATTAATTATTTAGATTCATCTTTGTCCAGCACTACAAACAATGCTTCTGGAAAGTTATTAGATGTAAATTAATATTCAGTATGTAAACTACACACACACTGTACTCTGCTCTGTTGTTGGACCGCTTCTCTTTTCTATTTACATGGCATCACTTGAGTCTGTCATTCAGAAACATTCAGCTTTTCCTACCAATGCTTTACTGATGACCCCCAGCTCTACTTTTCATTCTAAATGGATAATCTTGTGATTGCTGCATGAATATCAGCATGTCTGAGAGATATTTCATGCTGGATGAAGAACCACCATCTTCAACTCCAAATCTGAACCACAACTTTACCATACAGCTGACTGTCAGGAAACCAGCAGTGGTTCTTGATGACTAGTTGAAAATTACAGACCATATGCTCCAACTGCCCGGTCATGCAAGATTTGACCCTATCTATCTGAACACGCTGCTCAATTGCTTGCCTGTTTTCTTGTCCTGTCGAGGTTGGACTATTGCAATGCTCTACTGTCTGGCCTCCCATCCATCACCATCAAGCCTCTTCAGCTGATCCAGAATGCAGCAAGACTGGGCTTCAAGAAACTGAAAAGAGTGCTTGTCACACCTTTATTTATCAGTTTACACTGCCAGTCACTGCTTGAATCAAATTTAAGGTGCTGCCACTCATCTACTGACTCTGCACGTTTACTTCATCCCACTGCTTCAGACTTGTGTGTCCAGCTAGACTCTGCGCTTTGCTACTGTAGAATATTTCAATTGACCTTTATTAATGACTGATCCTCAATGCAAAGAGAAAACTCCTGTTCAAAAATATTCTGAATGGGTTGAAACTGGAAAAGGGCTGCAATAGAAAGTGCAAACTATTTAAAGTGCTGCAACAAGTGGATATGCCAAATGTTGAAAAACCCTAGTCAAAACTAGAAATAACACAAAAAATAATTACAACACAGCCTGTAATGTCCAAAGATTCAGCAATAGATTGTGTTTTACTTTTTGTTTGAAGTAACTTCATTTTAGATGTGTTCTGTTCAAAAACTGTATAACCTGAACACCTGATGTTGTTGGACCTGTTTTATCACACCCAAAGGAGATCGGAGGCTCTGCCCTCTTACAGCTATGACCAGGAAGAGACTGACTTATTATTCCTGCTTTCTGACACACTGACTCTCTTCATTTCTATTCTGGATTTTAAAAAGAATCAGAAATCAGTGGAAAATGAAGACAAACCCTTTCAAGAAGAACTTTGGAGACACTTTGGAGACAGACTGACTTTCTAAACACACAGCAGATCTTTTTGATACATTCTTTTGGAAACCGTCATATAGAAAGTGAAAGTAGGCTAAGGTTCAGATTTCTGCATCTCAAAGAGGGGAAATGGCTTCAGTAACTGTATCCAAAGAACTTTCTTGTCCCGTGTGCTGTGAAATCTTCAAGAATCCTGTTCTTTTATCATGCAGTCACAGTGTGTGTAAAGAGTGTCTTCAACAGTTCTGGAGAACCAAGACAACTCAGGAGTGTCCTGTTTGTAGGACAAGATCATCAAAAGATGAACCTCCTCTTAATCTAGTATTGAAAAACCTGTGTGAGTTGTTCCTGAAGGAGAGAAATGCGACATCAGGATCTGAGGAGATCTGCAGTTTACACAGTGAGAAACTCAAACTCTTTTGTCTGGAGGACAAACAGCCTGCTTGTGTAGTGTGTGCTACTTCACAACAACACGACAATCACAAATTCAGACCCATCAGTGAAGTGGTTTCTTCATATAAGGTAAGACAAGAGTCTCTTCATTAATATTAACAGTAATATTTTATAGACATCAGCACATTCATCAGTTCTCTCTGCCGTTTACTCATCTTCATATGACAAACATTGTGTGGTTAAAAAGTATTTGCCCCCATGCTGATTTTGTGCACATGTCATGCTAAGTGAGTTTAGGTATTCAGTAGGATCAGTGATGTAGAGTAAGATTGTGTTGAATAGCTGCTTTAGAAACACTAATAAATGAACAACATATTAATAATTAGCAGATAATGAGCCAGTATTTACAGTGGGACTTGGTGCTTAAAGTAATTGTAACGGACCAGACAGAATACCAGAGGTGCGGTAAAAAACAAGGACAGTTTATTAGGTATAGTTCAACTGAGGCAGGCTGCCGCACGCAGAGGCTAGGCGGGGCGCACCACTGGATAACTCAAATACTTCAGATAAAACCAGATGGATCCCGCTAGAGAGGTCAGTGGAGGAGTAGAGTAGGAGAGCGCTCTGGTTACTAAAGTATCCCTCGTTTCCCAAGGAGAGGAACTTCAATGCTATCAGTGAATTTACTTAATTCACGAATGGGAGGATTTCGTTTCAGAAAACCAATCGTCTGAAAGAGTATACAACGGGCCAATGAAATGCCAAATGAATTGGCAGCGTAAGCTTGCGCACATGTGCCTTATTGCCAATTATCTCCTCATATATGTAGCATGAAATTAGCTCATTTTATGAATATTAATAATCAACAATAACGGTTTATTCTTAATTATTAATATTCCGGCTTAAGCTTCAGTCAGTTTGGTCAAACAAACATATGATTGTAAATGATCATGCTCGCGCGACCGAGCGGATTCCCAGATTATGAATATTAATTATCAACAATAACGAATTATTATTAATCATTAATATTCCGGATCAATTTATTGTCAATTTGACCCAAACGAACACAAGCAGAGCCGCCGCTCTTCCGAGCGGACACTGTAATCTATTCATTTAGAAAAAGGGAATTTAATTGCTACTTCTTGTGAAGTAGATTAATCATTCAAAAGTTTTAAACAACTTATAATAGCTAGGCAGGGGAATCTGTATTTCAGTGACATTTTCTCGTGAGGCAAACAATACAATTCATTTGATTATAATGGAATTTATTGACTAGTCAGACGTAACGAACAAACAAACGCACAAACATACATTAAACACAAAACAAAGGTAAACCACGTGGAGATATCGGGTCTATAGAACGTGTAACAGCAAAGAGAAATAGTAAAGCTAGAAAATATAGATTTCAGATTAAAGAGTGACAAAACTTTCAGTCCCACCCGCATCATTAAGGACCACCAAGGTTATAAAAAACACCTTTTTGATAAAATGGGCACAGCTTAATCGCATAACTAAAATCACCTGGTTTTTCATGTCTGGAGGTCTCTTTTATGCGTCTCTCTTCCGTCGTGATGAAAACTACTCTTGATGTCCTTTGATGCGTGGAGTTTGTAATGCAGTTCGGACGAACACGATCGCAAACTTTAAACTGAATTTACTTTGCCGGAAAATAAAGAAAACGTGGCGGGAAAAAGTCCATGCGGCTTAGGAAGCCACGTGTGGCCCGAAGGCCACCGACAATGATGTTCTTCTTTTGGGACGTTCTCTTTCTGCCCAGATGTTTGGGAGGAAGTGTGCTTATACCTGCGGGTCACGTGACAACCCGTACAGCATTCTGACCAATGATTTCAGGGGAAAATTTGCGCGCGAACCTTCCTTTGTCTCTGGGCTGCGCGTATGCAAATTTGAGCGCCCGCCTAAAGCATGCGGACAGGCATTTAATACAGGGCTTTAAAGAATAAAACAATGTGAGTTATGGTCTCGATCTATGCATCATGTGTTATAAAATGTCGAGGGCATTCTATTGACACCAAACACTCTACAAGTACATCACATAGTTCCCATATCCTTACATCATTGATGCTTTTAAAAAGGCCTGCAAGCGTGAATGTGTATAGTCTATATCAGGTATTGTACACATTACAAAAGTTAAATGAAATTAAACAAGAGATTTGGGTTATAAATGTCTTTGTTTAATTTTTGAGGAATGTCTTGTCTGTGAGCAGAATGTTGGCTAAAGAGGTTTTTTTCCTTTTCTTATCTTATCTGTCACGTTCTTTTGAAGTAGGCAGAGAGTGGTTCTGTAAAGTCTCCCAGACTTGTTAACATGTCACCAGGGATTACCAAGCCAGACTTTTCGTCACCAAGTGATTTTATTGTCCTGGCGATTCACCCAGATTGTTTTCTGGAATGTTAAATGGAATGTTTATCTCCAGAATGCAGGTTACTATATGTTACAGTCCCCCTCTTCCCAAACAACGTGGTTCGGAGAAAACCCGGTTGGTTGGGATCTAACTTAACTTGTTGGTTGGGCAGGAAGTGAGGGCCCCTCGATGTCCGTTCCTGAGTCGGCTGGACGGAGTTTCATTTCAATCAACGTGGGTACAGCTCCTTGGCGTTCCTTTCCTTTCCCAGCTTTCCGCTGAAAGGCTCGTGGGAGTACGGCGGTGCACTTGTTCACTGGTGCTTGCATCTTATTGAATGGCGAGGCCCTTGTTAATGTGTGCTTTCCTGTTGTCGGGAGGCACGGAGTGGTAGTTGTTCCGCAGTTTTCCAGAGATGAGTGATAGAGGAGTATAGTTGTGAGGTTTCTTGGCTGTTCTGAGACCCATGGCGACAATCAGTCCTTACTCTGACATGGGGTCAGGTAAAACACTCTAGTAAGAGCTCTTGCATCGGCTCGTAATCTGCTTTGATGGCACGGCGCTGTTGATTCAGGAAACTTCTTGCCTCACGGCTCGAAGTAATTCTTAGCAGATACAGTTTGTCACAGAGAGTGGCACTTGGCCTCTGTGTAAAAGTGTAAAAGTCAATGTCTTAGAATTAGGGGTGCGTGTCGTCGCCTCCAGCAGGGTTTGGGTGAAAGTTGGAATTTCCCTGGCCAGCTGGTTCAAGTCTTTGGCTGACAGATGGTGTCTGTCGTTTGGGACCCCATTGGAGGGAGTCCTGGCCCTGTGTTGCTGATGGGCGTTGCTGGAATGCTGGCTGGCGGGGCAGTATGAGTTGGATTCACCCCCCTCTGCTGGTCTATCCAGTCTTGGCTTTTGGGGCTGACTGCGGCACTTCCCCTTTCTGGTAGTCACATGGCTTGTAGGAATGTGACAGTTCTGGGTGAACTCTGGTAGGTTCATGCTTAAAAGTCTCTTTGTTGGGTTCCGTGTTGGAATTTTGCTCGGGCCCTCAGCCGTTGACTTTAGAGGCTTTGACCCGAGCTTCACTGTCTTTAGTTCTGCTCTTTACAATAGTGTTTCAGCTTGTAGCTTTACACTCAGTTCATCTTTGGCTTTCTCCTCTCGTCGCTCCTTGTGTGCGTTGTCCGCTTGTAGCTCCATCGGGGCGCGTGTAGTCCGTCCATTTGCTCCAGAAGTTCGGCGTCCTTTTCCCTCGTCGTCTTGCAGGCGTCCTGGGCTCGATGCTCCAGCTGGTTGAGACCCTTTCCTATGGGTCTGGCCGGTGCAAGGATGAGGTGTGTCAGGGCCCTGGAGAGTTGAGTCTGGGCTTGGCTGTCATGGCTCCGGGCTAGGTCGTTCGCCCTCAGCGGATTAATGCAGACGTCCAGCTGTTCTCTGCTTGGCCGCTGCAGCTCCATGGCGTCGTTGGGCAGGAGGTTGTGGGTTAAGCACTTAACCAGGCCTCCAGTTGGTCCCAGTGAGCAGCGGGCTGGGCGCACTTGACATGCTGGTCTGTTGGGTGAGACAGAGATCACAAGGGAGAGAGAGAGAGACCCACATGGCCAAATCGAGTGGATGTTAGCATTGTGCTATATTATTAGTCTGACAGGGTTGTCAGCTAGGGGGTATGTGCCGGCTAGACGTTGGTCCTTCTAAGGATCCACTGGGGGCCGGATAATTCAGATGTCGAATTTGGGTGGCTAGATAACAGTTGATATCTACGTACTGGCCTCAAGGCTTTTAGTCATGCGCCAGGCTGTGCAAATTATCAATCAATTATTTAAATCACCCTGGTGGTTCTCAATGGCGTGGTCTCTGAGCAGGTCAAAGTAACTAAAAATAATTAAGTAAATAAAAATAACAGTAACCCCAAAAAAAACAAAAATGAATAATACTAACGATAAGTTAGACAAAAAGGCACCTCGCTCGGATGAACGAGTGTACAGGGAAAGTAAAATGAAAGAAAATACTAATATGGATATCAGTAAATATGAATAAAAATAAAACTGAAAGACAGACAAGGATGAGAAACGAGGGAGAGAGAGAGAGAGAGAGAGAGAGAGAATAGCAAAACCTATGGGCATGTCTAAAATGTTCGTTTTATAGTCCTGTAGTGGGCTAGGTTTAGACTAGGTTTTACATGCTATTTACACTTGGTGGATGAGTGAAAGGCAATCAGATGAAGGTCGCAAGAGCGTGCTATCTGACTAGACTTTCCCCAACTCCTACTGCAGTCGCTATCAGATCACTTGCCTATAATGTAGCTCGGTTGTGAACTCACACAGCGTAGGCTTTTAGCACAATACGTAGCACTCAAGAAAGTCACTGACCGCCTGGCATGATTCAAAATTGGGTTTTGCCTGATGATTCCGGTGCCGCTCTAGGCCTGTAGAATGAGGTGGCCAATCTCACTCAGGCGGGCACGTGTGTGGAATCATGACAGGGTAATTAACCAAGATTGATCATATGCCAGTTGATACGGATGGTGCTTCTTGGAGTACGATTGCTGATGCCACTGTGATCCACACAAGCCGGAGAGACAAAACGCCAAGGTATCTAACGCATCCTTCAGCAGGGGTCAGTTATGTCAGACAGATGAACCCAATCTTTTGATCTGCAACCTGAATAACCTGTACGCTTAACCACACAAGCACAGAGGACTCCGGTCCGGATACGGGCAGTACTATGGATCTACTATTCTGGGCGAGCCAGTTGGAGTAGGAATCTTAGTATGCTGTA